CCGACCCCGGAGGTCTGGAAGGCTTGGTGGGCGATAGGCACAGGGATCGACTCCACGTGTGTGTGTTACAGGGCACCTCCGACCACTGCGCCACACGCGCCTTTAAGAAGTGAATACAGTGGAATAATATCTTATTGGTAGACAAAATGTGAAGGAATGAGAGAACACAATGACACCTCTTTCCTTAGTGACCTAATAGAGAGCGCTCTAAATTCTTTGTGCCTGTCAAAATTTCCTTCACTCACTAATTCCCACTTTAAAAAACAATAATCTGCGGAGTGTTAAAATAACGTCTCGATAAGGTAAAAATGGAGAACGAGGAAAGACAGTTTGTGCGGAAGAATGTCGTAACGAACAACGAGCTGATGACATGAGATAGGTGCTCAGCGCATTCGCCTCTTAGTCCACCTTTAGAAGATCTTCTCGAATTGAAAGAACAGAGATTTTCATTAGTTGGATAGGTGACCGGCGAAAACATAAAAATATCTGGTAGAATTCAAAAAATGGTAGTTTAATAAATTGATTTTAGAAGATGAAATTACACCTGGATTATCTTATTACATAGTCAGTAAGGTGGTACCCATGGTCGGTATCATGCAATAAACGTAGGTGTGGCTCACAATATTCAGCCAAGAAAAGAGAATAGAACTGAGTGAAAAACTCAAGTCTTTGAAATTCTTCGTGTTTGAAGTCGTGTTCATCGGAAGATGGTGCACTTGCTGAATAGGCGGACGATTTCCATGCAACACATTCTCAGCGGTGATGTGTCGAACAACGAGACAACGAAATCTTTAGCTTTTATTAGATCAGTCGGGTGGTCGTTGGGAAATCTGAACAAGCAAATGCTCGTCGTGAAAAAGAGGCAGTATAGGCCGATGGGCGGTGAGGACTGGCATCCGGGCGTGACGGAGCGCTGTTCGGAGCGACCGATGTCAACCAGATGAAGAACTTTGCATAAAAGCCCCTGAATGTTGATGGTGAAGATAAAACTGCTCCAGAACCATAAAGGTTGGATTCATCTATTTACTACTACTGGGGCTTTCCACTATAATTGGCTATTTACTTCCTCAATAGGTATGGAAGCTTAATTTATATATACAACAGGAACATTTTACTACTTCTGTGCGAATTTTCATCATAATAAAAAGGATAAAGGATAAAGCTCTTGGCGTTGATCAATTCCTGAAGTATGCTCCATGCGTTCACCTCCATTACGCATCGTTTGGAGGTGACTGAATGCATATCTGGCCTTTACAATGACTCACGGTGGCCTACCGATGTATCGAACCAGTGCTGCTTCGTCACAATACTCGCATTAATTCATACTAAAGCATAAGAATATTTAGCAACTGATAACATGTGCTTATCCTTTGCAGGTGATATTTCTTCTGCTCTTGATAGCCACAGATCAAAGGGTTAACTGTTCTGTTTTAAATAAGGCTCATCAGGTTTCCTACCTAACACCTCACTCTACTTTTTCAAACATTACGAAGCTGTTCGAAATGAATAGCAATTGCTTCGAAAGAACTACTGGGAATTTCTACTACAAGATACGTTTAGCGACTTCACCCGGTAATTTAGAGCAAATGTCAAGTTCACATCCTTCTAAATGATTGAGACATCCGTTCGTTGAGCCATTTAATGTTCTCCTACCTAGACGTACAGAGTGGTTTCCTTCCAGCCTTGACAACATAACGTGGATTTACGTCTCCAAGGACTTTTAGCTAATTAAAGCCAATGAAACCACTAGCGAAAAAGGAGTTCGACTGTCACCTCGAAATGTGGCTTAGTAAACAGCACACCTTCTTATGCACTGTTCTAATGTGCGTGGGTGGTTCTCCATATCTGTGACATAACAACTATAAATTAAGTAAATGTGGTGATTAAGAAAAAGTCGATTTTTTTATCAGTTTTGAATTTGCGATTTAAAAAAAGATATTCTAGTATGGCACTGTTGTGTGCCTGCTACTAGCGAGATTCTCATTCTAGAGGTCGAGAATTCAAGCATAAAACAGTGTTCAAGTAATAGGCTAACTGGTGAATATTGCAAAACTCTAGAAAAAATGTCCACAAATGCGATCTCTAAATGAAGCTGTACTTCATAATTCGTGAAGAAGAGAGTTAAGAACAAGGTCAACCAAATCATCATTAGCAAGTGTCAGAACCACCTCGGACAATGAATATTTGACGATGGATTCCTTACTAGCCTAGTGACCCTCATTAAAAAGTCACTCTCTTGTCTGAGAAAAATTTTCTTTCGTCTTTTAAAAAAGAATCTTTTACAGTTGTCCTTATTTATACTTGTTGGTAAATACGACTGAAGAAAACGGGCGAGCTCTCTACTTCGACCACTCATGCTTAGGTTAGCGGCTTCCAGGAACAGAATTGTTAGCACAACTGCATAAGTGAAAATGTTTTATGATGCTGGTTAGGTTTTTCCGCACCATTCGTTCCTAAAATTCGATGATACCGTAGTTGTCAACATCATAGTAAATGACGCTGTAAGGTATCCATTCTCCATGGCAATGCCCATGCACACGTCGTGACTATGATCCGTCAGAAAATTTCGGAACGCAGCTAAGATGTTTTATTGCCTCATTCTAAACAATAAAATCGTCAATAGGTGTTTACTTAATATTAGGAATATAAATAAGATGCGTAAATCTGTAAAGAAGGAAGACAAATATGACAATACATGAGCTGTAATGGACGCACATTAATATTTAGGAGTGGGAAAGAGGCCTGAAGGCAGAACTTGGAAAAGGATTGAATATGAGAACAGAAACAGCTCTACTCAGCATTTGACGATGCTTTCATAACTGCCCGAACAGTTTACAAGAAACGTCGCTACAAAATATACAGCCTTGTTCCGTGTGGTGATGTCGGAACGACGTCATAACTAGTTCGCCAACTCGTTCGCAACCACTTCTCGATGTTTCAACTGGATTATTACACAAGCTCAGAGAATCTAGACAACCAAAAACGCTTGGCGAAAAATTTTCTCGAAAACAGGACAACTATATATAGAAGTAGAAAACATCTGTGATTCTGAGTGCAAAAGAAACAAACTGGAATTCACCAACAAAAAACGAAGTCATGAGCAATCCAAAAAAGGCCATTTTGTTTAAAGTGTTCTTTTCAGACTTGATGTTGCCGTTTTCGCCAAAGCAGCAGCACTTGGAATCGCTTAAGAGATTTCGCGAAGATCCACTTGAGAGCATTCTTTCTATTTCCGGCCTTTTTGAAAACCCTCCCAGTAGTAGTCTTTCGAAAAAGCTCAACAGTCCAAAGAAAGCCCACCGAATGAACGTTTTCATAATTTTAGTGACAGGTTGTAAAGAGCAGGTAAATGGAAGGAAATCTGAACATGAATAAGGATCCTAGTGCGAGAATGAAATCTATTAGCTCGACTCAACAATACCGCTTTGGTTTTTATTCTACAATTTCAAGCAGCCGATACCTTTATGTTATTACCGTTTAGCAGTTCAAAGCGTAGATTTCACCCGACAGAACTCGTTCTTAACATAGACGATGAATCTGAAGATGGTCCGAATAACAATCGTGTGGTACAAAGTTAGCTTCAAAAGGAATGGAGAGGAGATCCATGAGGATAAACAGAGTCATTCGAAGAATTTAACTGAAGATCTGTGCACAACGGTTCATAAGCTCGCTTCACAAGACCAAGTTTTCGAACCCTTCAACTGATTACTGATAGCCAAAGGCACCGAAAAATTTCAAATCTGCACGAGAATGTTGAGGTGACATTTTGGTGCTCGATTGATGGGGCAGTGCCTTCATGAATCATTGCAGAACAACTGCAACGGAGAATGTCTGTCTGAGTGATTTTGACTAATCGAAAAGAAACGCCTGGAATTTTACTGTGCTAACCAGTATCTCATTAGTGAAGATGTAGAGCCTATAATGGTTTTCAAGAAATTAACTATTCTACACCACACTATGTGTAATTGAAGTTGATGCTTAAAAAGTGCTTTTACCTTTTAAACAGCTCTAAAATCGGAAGAAAAGCTGTGAAAAGAATGGACAGAGAAATGTCGCCTTTACCGAACACAAAGCCAAAAAAAGAGTAAATGAAGAAACTTTGTTGTTAGGGAAAGCATCTGGAAAAATTTGACTTTTTCATGAGTGGGAGGGAAATGAGCTTTTTTAGATAAATGCGACTTCAAAGCCTTTTTAGTGTACAATCTGAAGGAGGCGAAAAGTTGCTCTAAACTAGATGTTGAAGTTCTTCACAGAATGTGCTTAGCGACTCGGCACATGAACTGCTAAAGTATTCTATAGAAACAAAGATCCACACTACGTTTGTATCGTTTGAATAAAGTTCGTTGGTTCCATGAGTGCTCTTCGTGAGAAAACGGCAGTCAGCGGAGTATAATCCTGAACGGCGGGGAGGTTAGTGGTAAGAGAGAACTGCAAGTAACATAGTAAATTGTCAGCAATTATCTGTTAGAATGATATCAGTTCAAAGAAAAGAACCTTTGCTCAGCAACTGTCAGCTCACCAATATTCTTCAAATTTTGTGTCAGCAAGATACTAGGCATCGTTAGCGAAACTTTTGAAAACACATTCCATGCTCCCAACAAGGTAGGTATGATGAGCCATTATACTTAAAACGTAGGAGGAACGCTCTTTTGGATATGTTTGCTATTAATCGTGACTCCAAGGACATTTCTCGTAGAGAGATTTCAAGCCGTTAGTCACGAGGCAACTTGGCGCGTCTCCAGCTTGCGGATAGAGAGTTAATCGTGGGTCAAAAGCAATTTTTGCTTCTTTGAGAGGTAGGCGGATTCAGGGAATGGACTACCTGTTTTTGCTGCGCCGTTGTGGCGCGCACCTTCTCTGTTTATGAGGTTCTATCCATGCGTGCTTGTGTGGGTGTCTTCTCGTTCATGCGAACTGTATTTTACGAGCCAATTCAGCCAAATATCTGAGATCAAGTAACAGGGAAGTATTTGGGAAAGGTTAGGAGTGGCCTCGAACAAATGAACTCTTCCTCCGTCTACTCTGTGAGAGACTGGCAAACTACCCGTGAGTATACCCACCCCCCACGTTCAAGCAAGCCACAGCAAGCTATACGTGGGTATCAAGAAGCTAAACAGAGTAAAGCAAGTGAGGCACATTCCGCCCACCACGAAGGAGTCTCCGATGCGGCAGCGTTAGATAGAGCGAGTACGAAGAGGGTGCTAAAACTTCAGGGTTATTCTGGGCTATCTGAATCACAAATAACTGAACTAACGATCTGTACCTATATTGCACACTCACTTACATCTGATGGCTCAATAAAGGAGTTAATCATGCAGGCAAGGAGGATAAGGTACGATGTCATCGAGATGGAAAAAACTGGAAAACGTCAGTCACTCAATTCCATCTACAACACCGCAAAAGAATTGTTCCTTCGAACACCCGACAATAGAGGAGTTGGCGATGTCGGCGGCGTCGGCGTTTTCGTCAATACGAGTTTGTCCATGAACATCGATTCATTCGAATAACTTACAACCCGAATCAGACGTTTACGATTAAAAAGACGTGGAGCAATTCTGGCTTTGTAATCTTCGCCGTTTACGCGCAGACATCAAAGTACGACGAAGAAGAAGTCGAAGTGTCCTATATGGACTTGGAGAAGTTCTACAGAGAAGAGCATACATTCTTCAGCGTCATCACTGGAGATTTTAACGCCAAGATTGGACCAAGAAGAACGTCTGAAGAGGGTCACATTGGAACCTAAGGATTAGAATGGAACCAACAAGGCGAACGGCTGACTGAGCTTATCATGACGAATAAGACCATAATCGCAATTTCAAGAGCTCCACTATCAACATTGAACATAAGAGTCTCCCAATGGAGAGCGCCATAACGAAATAGACGATATAGTAAATCGAAAGTTTTGCTTAACCGATGTCGCTGTTGTCCCAAAATTCTACACAGGATCAGACCACCGTCTCCTTCGTGCAAGATTCCATTTCTTGCGGAAAGGAGAAAAAGCCGCTGCATTCAGAAAACGAAATCACAAAACCACCATGAACTAGGATCTAATCAGTTCATTAATCAGCTTTAGGGAAGATGCCATTTTTGATAACATCGACAAGGAAAATAATTGGCTCACTTAACATGTTCACGAAGCAGAGAGTTTGAAGGCCATCAAAATGCGTCCATTTCCAGAAACACTCGAGTTGATATACCAGCGTGGAAAAGCACGAACTACGGGCAATGGATGCTTCACGTCCGAACTTGTAAAACAATTCAGACAAGCGATAAAAGAAGAACTTAAAGAGAGAAGAGCAGCAATAATGGTCGAAGCTGCAGAGGTTGGGAAAAGCATTCGCAAAACCCACCGAAGCTCCACCCATTACAAGACCGAGATGATTCGTGAGCTACGTGTGGGCCAGTCCCGCACGTAACATCACGGTGAGTGGCCTTTCTGTTCAATATGGCGTCTATTTGAAAGTTTAATCTTCATTAATACTTTAACCTTCTTTTCCACCGGATAATAAAAAGTATTCTAACATAAAGTACTTCCAGGCTCTGAGGAAGGCGAAGTCGCCGAAACGTCAGCCATCGTTCAATAACATCAAAAACAACGACAACGAAGATCTCTACCAACCTCGCGTCGGCTTAAGAAGATCAGTTTATAAGATCACATAAATAAATATATCAACTATCTATGCCGAGGTTCATAGAAAGTCGGTCTTTCGAATTATTACGAGATGATTGGACTCCGACACCCAGAAGGAACAGTTACAGCGCCCAGAAAGGCAATGGATAAAATTATTCACGAATACTGCTCAGATCTCTTCGATAGCCACGTCCACCTTCTGTGATATGAAATAAAAGAGGATGGATATGTCGTACCACCGGTTCTCCCTTCCAAAATCCGACATATTATTTCTTCGGTGAAACACCGAACACCAGGTCTCTACAGGATAAGATCTGAATACTTGGAACAGCTTCCGCCAGTCCTCGTAAACACAAGCCGGGCTATTCGCATGTTTCCTGTCTAAATCCAAGGTCCCTACGCAATGAAAGACTGGCAAGACCGTGCTATTGTTCAAGAAGGGTGATCTCCACAATATCGGTAACTACCGTTTAATCTCCTCTCTGTCTTCTGCAAACTTTTCACTCAAGTCATTCCAAACAGGATTCACAAAACATTGGACGAAGGACAGCCACATGAGCAAGCAGGGTTTCGAGAATAATTCGGTACGATGGACTACTTCCACGCGATGACAAGACTTATTGAAGTACAAAAGTGCAGACAGAAGTATGAAGCACCACGAGAGTACAAAAGACCTCTCTGTCTCTTCACCATCGTTTTAAGGAAAATTTTTTGACTCACTTGACACAGAAGCAGTCATGGAAGGCCTAAACAAACAACCAGGGAATCTGTGCTTTGTATGTAAAGATTCTTCGTAAGCTATATAAAAGTTTTATAATAAGGAGAGCACCAAAAGAAGAGTTAGGTAAGGCGATACCATTTCACCAAATTTCTTTACCGCCACACACCTCAACGTCATGTGAACACTGGAACAGTACAAAATGCTAGTGAAAATCGATGGTAAGCAGTTACACCACCTTCGTTTTGCTGATGACATCGTCCTTATAACACTAAACATTAGCCAAGCGGAATGTATGCTTGCCGACTTTGATAAATCCTGTGGAAAGATTGGTCTTCATCTAAATCTCACAGAAACGATGTTCATGAGGGACGGATTGGTTACGTGTAGCTCATGCACGTTCAACAGAATGAATATCTCCGAGTGCTCCAGTTACGTCTATGTAGGGTGGAAAATCAACAGGATGAGGGACTTAGTTCCAGAGTTGAGCAGGAGAAAGCGAGCCACTTGGGGAGCGTTCAAGCGCATCGAGAGTGTAGTGAGGGGAACAAAGAACACCCGACCCGTGCTCACCTTTTCGTCTCCGCGACTCTTCCTGCCTTAACGTATATGTAAAAAACCAGGTCTCTGCGTAAGCAACATGAAAAATCACTCAGCGTTATAAAACGCGAAATCTAAAGGGGGATACTAGGGGTACTTCCTGTCACATAATTGAGAGAAGGGAACCGAAGCTCCAATATACGTCAACGATCAAAAATCAAAGATGCCGTTCTATCCGCCAAACTGTCGGTTTGCCGCACATATAATGCGTATGAACGACAACCGATGAGCAAGAACGAGAGTTACTAGAATCCTCGGGATGTCTAATGTACGGCAAGAAGACCATCGATCCGACGGTCAGAGTTCTTCACGAAAATCGTAGAGGAAAGATATGATAAATATGATGCTGAAAGAGTCGCTAAAGCGAGCGGAACCCACTGGGCTACTCCTGTCCGCTACAGGTAAAAGTGGAAGATTTGCTTGCTCACCCTTGAGTCATTTGATAATCAACGGAATGACAGGTGACATCTGACTACTTTTGACTGAAATTGCATGGGCATGAAACTTAGCTTATCAAACTATTTTTGTAACACAATGGCCAGCGGCCCGTGTAGCGTCGTGGTCATAGCTGTTTCACAGAACACACGTGACTGTTTGTTCGATCCTAGCTCCTGGCCAATTATGCTTTCCATTTTCTAGGAGTAGGCAAATAGGTGTGTACTCGTCTGGGAGGATAGCAGCAGTAAGTGAGCTACCGCAAGTTATTGTGTTTGAAATATGCATTCAATCACACCCCTCACGATGTTAGATAAAGTCGAATGCATAGCACATTCCTCAAGGACTAATGAATGACGCACGTTTTATCCTTTATCCTAGCACTGTGGTTACTGCCTGGCTATTACTCAGATGTTGATCTACAAAGTACAACCGGGAATCAAGTTCCACACATTTGTTTGCAGATCGCTAAAAATTGTAGATTCATGAACGTTATCCCCTTCTATTTCCTATGTTCACGATATGGTGTCTTAAACCTCTTGTGAGGCGCCGAACCGCGACGTGTGACACTGGATATCGGATTGTGAAATATAGCAGGTGGTTCACCCCCTCCTCCTCCTCTCCCTCCTCCTCGAGACTGCCACTCAAAATGAGAGAGACTAAGACATTCTTTATCGAAAAATCAACTAAGAACAAGCCTATCGCGACTGAGCACGACGAGCTGTTATCAGTGGCCACTTGACACAGCGAAAATAAAACGCGTTGTACAAAAAATCCGATGCTACTTGAACGAACATCTCTAACTGAACGGCTCGAGTGCACGGTGCACGATGGAGAAGAATTGAGAGTTTCTGGTGTACATTCGAGTTGCTCGTTGGTTAACTTCTTTGGAAATGACCAATGGTACATCTAGTAAGGTGAACTGTGAAGCTTTTCTACATCCTACCATATTCCTTAGCATACATTCCTTTACACAAGTTACCTTTGTCTGACAACCTACGGCGATGGGATACAGAAAAAAGCACACACTGAATAATAACTAATAGTAAGCAACATATAGAACATAGCTTCAGCTTTGTAAACAAAGATTGTTGGTGTTACCATTTACTGCCAGCAAGGATATAACGATAAACTCAAGAAGATAAATCAATCTAAACATGATAACTTTCGTACGCTCGTTAGAATGCTACCATAGAACTGAGAAGTCCTTAAGGACTGTACTAGTCACTTTATATCTTTTATAGAAGGAAGTAACACCACCTTTTACTAGTTCTTTCAGCGATATCTCGAATGGACCTGGAAAATATTCACGGATCCTACTAACGTGTCAAAAATAACGGTGAACAAATTCCTACGAACCAACTGCTTGTTCTCATAGCATCGTTAATCCAGCTGTCAGCTAGTTGTATTTTGTTTAAAGTGGTTAGCTTTTGCAATTATGAGACATCTCATCTGTTTTTGTGCCTCCTCTTTCAATACAGTGAACACAGTTCTGTTGTGAATGAGTCCTACACTAAATAGTGTGTTTAATACTTTGCGCTACGAATGAATTTTTCCTGAGATAATTCTCAATACGAAGGAAGAGAGATGTTTTAGAAAACTTTTACATCGGCCTTTTCAGGTTTCATACGGAACATTTAATAAAATTGAAGACGAGTGCATTGATAGATAAAAATGGGGAGTTAAGAACATAAAAACTCCTAGTAGTTTGGCGATATTCCTGTTATTCCTGCAAGAGTGACAAGACCGTTTACTACCAAGTCATAGCTGGAGCAGTCCAGAGACCATAGCCGAGCGCTCAGCTCAGACAGTGAACTCTTAGTGCACATGCTGCCCTCAATAACAATCATGAAGAACAACGTCCTTGGTACCGAACCATATCGTCGGAATGCTATGCACATAATTACTGGATGAATTGCGATAGTGAATGGACTACATTTTCCTTATCCATGCTGACCGATGACAAAGGCGTTCAAGCTACAAAGAAAGGTTAATCCTTAACAGAGTTATGTTAAAAAGTAAAAGCCTTCTTTGTTCTGCATGGTAGATATGGTATTAGAGATTAAGCGCGCTAAAATACTTAAAAGCGAGTTCAAGATAAGCTGAATTCAACATGACTCTTC